AGATCTGTAACGAAGTACGTGATTGTCTGCCCCGGTGAAAGGTCAATTCACGTAATTCTACGCGACTCCAGATAATTAGATAATCACAACGAGTTTCGTCTCGTACGGTCCTGAACTTTTCTAAGGCAGGTCACGGTTCCCGACGAAGTCGTCGTTCCTCCGGTCGCTATCTTTGGCACGCGCCGCTCCAAGTCGGGCACATTCGGATCACTCCGAATTCCATCTCGCGGGTCTGCTTTCACGACTGCGAAATTGAACACACGCCCATAAAAATTAACTATTCTCAGCTAAAAAAAAAAGAAAATAAATCGAGTGCTGTTGTTTATTAATAATAAGATCGTTTTCAGTCGAAGGGTTTGATATAGGAGCGGCGTAAATGGATAATCTCCAAGATCTGTTTTTAACGCGAGACACGTATTTTTATAATACATCGAATCTTCACGTTCAGGCCAGTCGAGCTGACAACGAAGAGAACGTGCAAAATGTAGCGAGAAATATGTTAAAAAATAATGACTCTCAAAATTGCATTAATCCGAAATACGATGTTGAGGAATATATCCAAAGATTGTGAAGGCGAGGCCACGAAAAGTTATAGTATTCGAGCTACAAATTACCGTCAACTGGTGAGACAATAATAAAATTCATACAATGTAGCCGACGAGAAAGTAAAAGAACGTATGGACGTATTATAGATCGTTAGAAATATACACACGGAAGCGAGATAGTTACGCGGAAAAGTCGATAACCAACGGTTCATTATTTTCTTTTTCCTCCGAGGGAGCTTGATTTGCGCGTATATTTCTTCTGTACATTTTTCAACTTTTTCGCAACATAAAATATTATCCGTTTGGGGCCTAAATTAAATCTCGCGCAAAATCGCGCGTGTGACGGAATCGCCGTTGGAACGGGAAAAGTGAGCACTTTGCCGGGCGAGCTTTCGAGAGGAAAATAAAATATCGAGAAACCCAGAGTGGAAAAATCCAAGAGTGATTTATGAGCGCTTGGAGTCCTTTATCGGTGTTGTGAATTATTATTTCTGTCTCCTCGTGCGCAAGGAACTCGGCGTCTTGGCATCCCGGCGGTTCTCGGGAAAATCTACGCGCTAGATAATGGATGAAGCAACGTCGATACAAGGAAAGCTCCGGTCTTTTACAAGCACTGCACTTAAATTCGTTTGTTCGTTCGTTCGTTCGTCGCGAAGCCGGGGCCGCACATTTTGCGTCGCAGTTGCGGCTGGGATCGCGCGCGGCCATTGGAATCGCGAGGCATAGCAGCGGTAGTAGGATACCCCAGAGCCCCCGAAGGAAAATCGCGCGTGGCACGCATCCTTGCGCACGCACGTGCGTTGGGCAGAGAGAAAGAGGCAGAATGAGAGCGAGAGAGGCAAAGGAGGTACAGCCTCGCGGAAGTGAAGCGAACGCGGAACCGTGGACGAATCTCGACGACGATCTTCGTCGAGTCTTTCCTCTTCCTGCGGACTCACTGATGCGATCTTGAGCCTCGCGATCCCGATCGATCGCGACTGATGGACCAGCCGATGTAACACCACACACCGTTCGTTCACTGTGTCACCGTGTCACTGTCTTTTATCAGCGCCGTATAGCGCGGCGTTATCACCGCGTCATCGGGGAACGATCCCGAAAATCAACGCGACGCTCAGTCGGCTGCATTCAATGCGGAGAAGGGACATGAAGAACAGTGGGAGAGAACGAAAGAGAAAGAGAAAGAGAGATAGAAAGGGAAAGAGAGAGGAAAGAGAGACGGGTACCTAGGAAAAAAAAGAGAGAAAAAAAGAGGAGATGAAAGAGGGGAAAAGGAGATAGAGAGAAGAGAGAGAGAGAGAGAGAGAGAGACCGATGAGAAAGGGGAACGATGAGAGAGAGAGAGCGCGCGATTGTTCGCCGATGCAGCCGACAGCACGACTGGCGGCGGCGGCCTTACCGCACCTCTGCACATCCACCCACGCTATATCGATCTCTCCCGTCGTCCGACGTCGCTCCTCTCCTCTCTTCTCTTCTCTTCGCTCCTCGCCTCGCCTCTCACCTCTCTTCTCCGCTTCTCTTCTAGTATACTCGCGCGCATAGGAGCGCAGCGGCGACGGCGGTGGTGGTACCGGCGCTGCTGGTGTCCGCGATTCGTCGAGGCTTCGGGTGGTGGTGCAGCTAAGTTGAGCTCACGCTCGTCGGATTGTACGCGAGAATATAATCGCGTACAGGTGTGTACGCGTGTATGAATGGGTATAGCGCGACTGCCATGTATGGGTGTAGATATATATCTGTGTGTATGTGTGTGTGTGCCGTGTGTGCGAGAGGACGCCTGGCTAGGTAATAGTATCGCCACTTGGCTGGATGGGTGAGTGGGTGGGTGGGTCGGTCGGTGGGTGCATCCTGGATATGCAGGGTAGCCGAGCAGCTACGTGTGCTGCTACGATTTCACGAGGTCGATTTTTCCACCACGATCTGACCTGGTCGATTTTTGCTCTGAGTCTTCTTCGCATTCGCCCTCTCTCTCTCTTTCTCTCTCTCTCTCTCTCTCTTGGTTCTTGAGGATTCATCCGATAGGAAGGTAAACGCGCGTTTATCTTCTTCGGTTTATGATTCGACGAAAGAATCTCTCCCAACTGATATTTACGATGAGAGATATTTTCTCATATTTTATAATCTTCGACATGATCGCAGAACCAGCACACGTATAGCTTCTCAACGGCTTATAGCGAGTGTCCAACAGGTCAGTGAGCGATGAACCGAAAGGCGAATCATAAAGGCAACTGAGATAAATGTGGCTTCACAATGGACGGTGATTGATTGTAAATTTTTGAAGGGTATATAATTACAATTTACACACGTGGCGAGATCATCGGGGAACTTTACGCATCCGGTGATTTCCATGCGGGCAGATTCCGCTGCGGCGGCGTCGCGGTCGCTTGCATTGGCAATTAGTAGAAACCTAACACGATGGATGCGCAAGTTTACGTAACGTCCCGCTAAGTAACAATGCCTGTACATCCCGAGTGCATAGTCGTGCGTTACATCGCTTAGAAGAATCGCAGAATCGCGTAGGAAAAAGTCTTCGCGCGCGAAAGGCTCGACCGGTTCTCTCGCAGTCGTCGGATCGCTCTCCCTCTTCGAAGTATCCGTTTTACCGGCGAACGAATTACGTAAGGACCGAACGCAAGGGATTCTCCAAGATGCAACACGACGACGGACGCGCAACCCGCGTTATCGCGATCGGCGAACTCACACGTGAGAAACTCGTTTCGCAAAGCTCGCACAACGTTCGCACGTTACATAATAAGCGCGAAGCACCGATAAAATTTAATTTAATTTTATAACGACGTATTAGAAAATTAAGATTCATAAAATTAAATCCATCAGCGGCAAATTGGAAATTTACGACCGGTCAGATTGAAATTGAAATTAAATCAACATGTAATACCGGTAAAATTAAAGATACAAATTTAAATTGGAATAACAATTAACTCTTGGTCTGTGGATCGTCGAAATTTCGCCATTCAAAAGGTTTCCGAATGAGTTGGCTCAACGTGGGGTTTATTACACCCCGAGTCGACTCTCGTCCGGAGCCGAGGGTAAACAGACTGCGACCGATTTCAGTTTTAGACGCTCGCGTGCCGCTCAAATTCTATTTACGAGCGACATCGCGAAATCGTAAAATGTGCAAATATGCATACATACACCTGCGTGCCGCGTATGTGCGACGTCCGTGCACGTGTGACAGATCATCGACTGCTGCTAGCCATTTCGACTACCGCGAGCCACGAAGAATTCTCGCGACTGTTTCCGTGCGCTTTCACGAGCTCTCACATCACGCGTCTTTGTCCCTTTGTCGTAAACTGAGCTTACTTTAGCCCTTCGCTCTGACTTCAGTCCAACACTTCGTTAATGAAATGAAACGAAGTGAAAAGAGAAGAGCATCTTTACGACACTGCGCTCAAATTCCCGGAACTATGGATAATAAATTAACCTTTTTATAGTTGACACGTTATACTCGATATTTTATCACTTAGCGTATTTCACGCGATAGCCGGATGAAAGTAAATAAGCGTAAATAAGTTTATATTGTAACGAGTGATAGAAAAAATTCGCGTTCACTCACAAAGTTTATAATACCGAACCGGATGAAAAGTACTTGATGTAGACTGCGAAATTAAGCTTGTCAGAGTTGAAAGCGATTTTCACTTTTGGCGATCCGGGTGACCCATTCACCGCGCGCAATATATGTGTGCATATACCGTTTACAGTTCGCGGTTTTCTGAAGAGGTCGAAGTGCAGTCGGTACGTTGACAATCCGCGAAGCCACTACGTATACTCCCTGTTTATCGGCTAGTATTATGTTTTTGCGAGAGCGGAAACCGCGGGTAAATTTACGTGCGGCGTGTGTGGGCCGGACTCTCCGTAATATCGTAATAGTAATAATGTCGGACAGGACCGAGCGCTCTGGCATAACGGTTACACTGTACCACGAACAGGCTTTAACCGCGGAGAACCGTCGTAAACAGTTTGGTAGCGCAGTACCAGGCGACGGTGACACAAAGGGGGCGAGGTGCGGGGCCGGAGAGAGAAAGGTACGTCACTTCCGGCCCATTAAGACCGTCAAGGGTCGCGCGAATCGTGTGCGGGAGGCTAATTATTCCGGGGACAGTGTTTCTCATCCTTCGATCGTTCTCGCTATCATTTTCTTCTTTTTCTTCCATCGATGAAACGAGTTTTACGAGGAGTCTCGCGAGGAGCAAGCAGGGCACCGGAAAATTCATCGTAATGAAAACGACGCAGGAACTCTTTCCTCCGGATAGACTATTTCTCATTTTTGAAAGATTCTCAAATAATTTTTCTAATGATTTCTTTTCATATATGTTTCAACAATTTGTTGAATTGTTATTTATAAAAGATGTATTATGTATAATAGGTGATTAATTAAATTTGCATTTGTCATGAAGGATGAGCGGAGGGCGTTTGTTGTAATAGGAAATTATGAAATCCTACCTTATCTGCGCATGATAGGAGGGTGTAGTATGCTCGGTGTGTGTGGTGAGAAGTTCCGCAGGATTGTTGGCCATGTCTATCGGATGTCCCGACGAATGCGTGATGGGTTCCAGCAAAAGGACTCCGGGCGTCGCCGGCGACGGCTGCGGACCTAACAACGAGACGCGTACTTTTTCTCTACCTTCGCTGTAATCAACAAAAAAGATATTCCATTAGTATAAAAATGTATTCGTGTGTGTCATAAGAGCATATAATCACGTATAACCATTGTTTTATTACGATAGAATTATTAAAAATTCTATTGTAATCAATAACGAACGAAATCCAGTAACAGTATTTTTCATTATTGATGTATTATAAAAATTATAAAATTGTAAATGGAACAACACGTTCCCTCTCGTAATAATACAATTATCAAATAAATCGTTTCCACGTCCTCCAAAAAAAATACTGTTCAACGGTCAACTTTGTATTCGGAGAATCAACCGGCGAGTTTCAGATAGCCAAGCGAAGGGTGGATTTCCGTCCGCTTCGCGAACACCTCGCAGAAAAACGAGCGGGGCGAAATTTAACGATTTAACTTCCGCTTTTGTCGCCACGCCTCCTCGCGTGTCCTACCGACAGGAGCGAGTAGTGAACCCCTTTTCGAGAACGCCCGTGGTGTACGCACGCACACGTATGACTCTCCATGTACAAGGCGACTTATCACTCACTGACTACTTAAAGGATTAACGTTGGTGTCCGGCTAATTTTCAAACACAACCGTGTGCTTTCCGTATTCGATCGATAAAAATATAATAAATAATTTACGTGAAAAAAGAATATGCACAAGAGAGAGTTTATGGCGCGTCTCAGCTCAAAAATGTCTACAAAAGTTGAAACGTTATTTCAGAAAATTAGAATGTTAAAAATTATATATTATACGGTAAAAGATTTTGTGTAAATAATGGTCTACTGAAATTTATGCGTTACTTTAATAAGGTGAATATGTTAAAAAATAACAACGTTGACAAGGTGGATATATTAATTTTACATGAACTCGTGTACTTTTTAACATATTCTCATGTTAAAGTAATGAACAAAAATTTCAGTGTACCATTATTTATGCAGAATTTCTTACTATGTATATTTTTAATAAATGTATATTTTTCCATATTGCGAATAATATTTTTCCGCCAAAATATGATAAATTTTGACGGAAGACGATACGTTCTATCTTAAGATGGCAGTGTCCTGAGCACGCCGCGGGCGACGAAACGCAAGTCGGTCGTCTGATTGCTCATTTGCTGCTTACATAACTTTCCGACGACGTCATTTACGTCACGTGTCGTGCTGCAGCGGCGTCGGTGGATCGAAAGATTGTATTGCAATGCGCGCGGGATGTACCGGAACGAAAGGATTTGACTGGATCGCATCAAGACGGAAATATCAATTTTTACACTTCGTCGTTGCCAAAATATATTATAAATGTCAAAAAAATTATTATATTTATATATTATAAATGTCAAAAAAATTATTTAAGAAATTTTGCATTAACAATATTCTTCTATATTTTGTAACTAGTTATCCAAAGTAAAAATTGTTTTATGTAACTTCTGTTCAGTTAATTTTTCGTTATTATTTATTTTTCGTTATCTTTCTAGGTTTCAACTTTTAATTCGGAGGAAATTAAAATTGTGAAAATGCTGTCCCCTACTTCTCTCTGTCTCGATACCTTGAAACTAAAACGAGAAATGTCACCTCGCGATATGAATGGAGAGACGAAGGAAATGTCGCGTGTTGAGATACAAAACGCGTTCATTCTCGTATTCACATACTAGCAGAGTGACACTGGTTGTTCTAATTTCAAGATATTGATTTTACGTGTACGCGCGCGCGCGCGCGTGTGTGTGTGTGTGTGTGCGTGCGTGCGTGCGTGCGTGCGTGCGTGCGTGCGTGCGTGCGTGCGTGCGTGCGTGCGTGCGTGCGTGCGTGCGTGCGTGCGTGCGTGCGTGCGTGTGCGTGCGTGCGTGCGTGCGTGCATATACACGGTTTGTTCGGTCTTTTTGAAATATCTTTCTTTATAATTTGAAAAACATCTTAAGTCGATAACAGCCTTAGCTTGTAAAAAATTCAGTTTTATTTCTCGCTGTTGAAAGGATTTAAGAAATAAACAAACATTAAACATTTTAAATTGTGCGCTAGTCGAACCGCATCTTGAATACTACTTTTTGATATGGTCGCCATATTATGATTGTTATTCGACTCATCTGGAACGTGTACGAAACAGATTTCTTAGGTGAATTGGCTTTGTTATGGATAAAACATTGCTACTTACTTCACATAATTATGACTCGATTTTCAAGCCTTAGAGATTATCGTTACTTAAAGATAGAAGGATATTATTAATGAATGACAGAAATTTTCCTTTCTAAAGCATTGAGCGGATTAATTGATTGTCCTTCATTACTACGTTTGGTTTCGTTCAATGTTCTCACTCGAGTTTTAAGATATTATCCTTTCTTTCATATTAGATTGCATCGTTTCTTTATGGCAAATTTAAACCCTTAAATAGATTAGCAATGCATGCGAATAACATCAATTTAACTAATAACATCAATTCCAATTACATGTCCTTGGAAATCTTCAAATCTGCTGTTATATAATTTTTATATATATAAATCCTTATACTTGTGATTAATTATTATGTATATTTGTACCAAAGGAATGCAATTCCTATAAATGAAATGAAGTGAAATGAAATAATTCATCGACATACATGTCGTTGTACTTCCCAGTCAACTTCGTTGTTAAAAAACCTCGCAAAAAGTAACGAAAACTTCCTCAATTTAAAGGTTCTTATTTCGCCTCTCCGAATTAGCCATATGCATTTAAGGCGCGCGTGGATGAGAAGCTTGATTCGTAATAATTACAAAAGTTAACCCCATTAACTTAATCGGGGCGATCCAAGACGAAACTTGACCTTCTCGCATGCAATGTCCATTTTCGCGGACAATATCTTCTTACACGCGACAGAAGAGTGCCGTTATTATGGTCGTCGATTCAATTTTATACGCGTGACCGGATTAATCGAGCGATATCGACGGAAACGCGAGCGAAGGGAAAAGAGAGGGAAAGAGTAACGACGTATAATCTGCGAGAGATCTCCGTCGCTTCCATCCCGGAATTCACCATCGTCCATTTTCATTTTTGCGGAAATCTTCGCGTACACATGTTGCACAAGTGGCAAGTCGCCAGCGCGCACACTGTCATCGACGAGGACACAGATTGCCAACTATTCGGAGTGCATATATCGGGGCGGTGGCTTTATTATGAACCTCTAAAATAGCCGCTTCGCGCGCGCGCTCATAATTCACGCAATGAACAATCGTCGGACACAGCTTTCTCTTTCCTATGGAATCTCTGGTAATTTCTAAAGTGCACACTTTCATCTATTTGTACCAGTAAGATTAACGACTCGCTGAGTTTTATAGAGGGGACAAATTAAAAGGTAGTGGACATATAAAAAGGTGAAAAATGTGAAAATATACGAGGCTATAAAGGCCGCACGGGGGAAAAAATATTGTCGAATCAATAGAATTTCAAATAGCAACGTATAATTGGAGTAAATCTGCTTGATTAAATAGTAAATATCGTTAAAACTACAAAGTTATATATTGTTTGAGATCCTAATTTGTATATAATATATTATAAATTGTATATAATATATTATAATCGAGAATTAAAAGAGTATAAAAGTCAAAAAGAACCGTGAGTGTGCGCCTTAATTTCGCTTGTTCGAACTTCCATACGTACAACGATATTCCTAGAAACATTTGATATCTCAACGATAACGAGAAAAAGCACTCGCAAAAATTGACGGCGCGACGTATGGAGACCGATGAGAAATTTATGCGCGATGTATGACGACACGAGTATCGAAACGGTTAAGTACTGTACCGTGATGTATCCGCGATGTATTTTCGTTCGCCGCTGACACCTCTATGAAACTTGCATGAGCGAGCCGGTGCAATTACAACGAGCGTCTCTCATGGATGAATGTCTCGCTTAAATGCCGGGGAACGTTAAAGGAAATAACTGAGCTCGAGGATGAAATTTTAGAAATATGAAGCGCTCCTTAAGCCTTATGGATTAAACATGACGAGATCTCTCTTCTTCCCGTGTTTCTTTTCTCAAATAATTAAACAGAGCTGAGAAGAGTGAAGGAGAAGACTATTTTTTTTTAAATGTCAGTTTAAGTCTGTTTCTATCTCTCTCTCTCTCTCTCTCTTTCTTTTTCTCTACATTTTGACAGCTTTACGTCATTGAATTACGTCACCTCCGACACCTGCTCGCGGCTGATGGATCCAGGACACGCTATATAAGCACATCATCTATCGCCGTACCTCGCACACTCGCGAAAACTCGATTCGCGGATATCCTTGGGGGCCCATATCGTCGGCTTCGAGAGGAGGGTCGAGGCAAAGGAGACACGTGCGGAAGACGAGGAGGAGAGAAATTGCTCCTATAAGGGGTTGGACAGCAAGGGCTGTAATATCGTCCTCTTCGACACCCCGCGGTAGTGCGTTATGGAACTCGAGAAGCGTAGGGATACTCGAGGATGAGTGCACTTACGGCGAGAACAACGTCATAAGTGTATTAGTAGGACAATTACGACAGAAGTAAAAATATTCACCGTATTAACGCATCTCGAGAGGTTCGTGGACAAACAGAAAAGTTTAGGATACGATAGTTTAACGGAGGAAGTGTTGTTGTATCGCGTGAAAACGGATTGTCAATCGAACACCCGAATATTCAATATCTTCAATTATTGCGATATTGTCAACAATAGTAATCGAGGTTGCCTGCCAAAATATGGCAACTTCTGCATTCGACAAGACCGCCTTGCAAAATACCGTTACTGTTGCTCTTCATTCGAAGAAAAATTTCATCGTTGATTTTAATATAATCTCGCTCTCAATAATCGCAATAAGAACTGTAACAATGACGGGGGGTTTGTGTTCTCGTACGCGAACGAGACAACAGTTTTATCGTTTTCGCGCGACGACCGCGCGCGCGAGCGGAACGATAAAATTCCGACGCGAGCGTTCCGCGCGATGAGTCACCCGCCGATAAAAACTGCTATTCGCGCGCGTTCGGCCGCGAGAATAGAATAACGATGTATTTATTTTGCACGATAAATAGGC